CTCAGACGGAGCAGCGTTAGCAAGAACAAAGCAGTGAATCAGAGAAATAAAAAGCTATTTTCTGATTGTTTCATGGCGGTTACATTCTAAAGCACAAATAAACACAGCCACAACTCTGCTTGACAGTGCGGGTAGGTCTGGCTTTGCCGGTTTTTGTGAAGCGCAAACTTCATCATGTGTGTAATTTTGTCGTTCTTTATACATCCATGACACAGACAGAGGAGAGAGACAGAGACAGCAACGTAACCTGGTCACAACGTTTTTATAGAAAGTACAACATTATGAATGAAGCTTCAAACTGTTGGGTATAGCCCCGCTTGAGCAGATATTTTTTTAGTTACTTCTGTTGTTGCTTTTGAATATCATTGGCACATGACATCTGTTTGACAGCAAAGCACCACGGGCAATAGTATAACATTTTGGGATATAGGCTTATTTATTTCGGTTAGGTAGCTTAGCATAAAGACTGGAAACAGTGGGAAACATGTAGCCTGGCTTTGTTTGAAGGTACTGAAATGTACCTGGAGCACACTAATTGACACATTACATTTAATTTGTTTAATCAGTACAGAAACTGAAATGTGAAAATAGCAAGTTATGGTTTTACAGGGGGTTATGTGACCACTGCTTGACTGGCAACATTACAGTGACAACAATTTACCTAGAAGTTATTCCTACCGGCCACGATGCAGACAGAGCCAGGATAGCTGTGTCCCCTGGTATCCAGTCTGTATGCTAAGCTAAGCTAAACTAAGCTGCTGATGGTAGCTTCATAATTAACTGATTTAGTTTTTTAACTAACATAGTTTACTAGAGATATGAGTCTCTCTTGGGAAGTTATATAGGTATATAAGCAAATTTCCCAAAATGTTGAACAAATCCTTTAATATTGACTCCCTTCCACTTCTGTAAATCTGTTCAAGTTGTCCAAGTCTGTTTCTTGAGACCAAAAATCCCTAAAAAATCCCTAATTAAACCTCCACAGCTTATCTTACTGGCTCAGAGTTGATCGTCTCAGTCTCAGCTGCTCAATCTATTTCTTGTCAGAATGTTATTTTGTATACACAGTGAACATCCCAGTATTTTGGCTCTCTTTAGTTAATTTAATCGTCCTCTCTTTCTCTTCCCCCCTCTCTTCCCTTCAGCTGTAGCTCCTCCACTGTAGAAAGACTGCTTCCTCCAGAATATGCCTTGTCTCCATGGTAACAGACCTCAGGCAGACCCAGAAAAACCTTGGGCCAGACTCGTCCACTCTTGTCCAACCTACCTTTTCCTGGACTGCACTGAAGAGGTTTTTAACAAGAATTCAGACATTTAATGACTCTTTATATATTTGTAATGTTCTCTATTAATCATTTTAGTCATTTTACCAGTTAGAGTGCATTCACAGGACCCAGAATGCCTAAAATATTGCCTGAAAATTTAAGTTGATATCATTTTAGAAGGTATTACTTTCTACTCTGTTGGTACTCCAATGCAGAGGACTTTCTATACATCCCTTAAACCAAAAGGAAAACATTATTCAGAAGTTTGCTTTCCTTGATCATTATGTCAGGGATATATTCATTCTCAATCAGGGTATCTTAAACTGGGAAACACCAGTCCCAAACTGGTCTGAGAGGAGCCCTAAACCAGGACCAGGATGCACCAGCTGTTCAGTCAGGTGCTGGGGCAGAGGGATCTATCCAGAGCGGGGGATCTGTTTTCTCTGGAGGACGCAGAGATTGAAGACTGTCTGTCTCAGGCTCTGGACCAGATCAAGGCCATCTCCTGCTCACCGGTCAGTAAGCGGAACCAACACATGTAGATGATATTTATCCAAAACATTACAGGGATAATGTTTGAATTTATTATTCATGTTCTCATCCATAATTCATCTCTTTTTCCTTCATTTATCATTGTGTCCTTCATTTTGCATCCTCTTACTGTCTGCTGGCTGACAGGACTATTTGACCAATGACAATGACCAGGCTGTGGTGGAGATTTGCATAACGCGCATCACCACGGCCATAAGGGAGACGGGCTCCATCGAGCAGCACAGCACGGCGCTGGTGGGGCTGTGGGAGTCGTGTCTGGAACATAACCTCACCCCGCAAGGTGAAAACACAGAGGACACGCCGCACGCCAAGATAGCCTCCGACATCACCAGCTGTATCCTGCAGGTACACACACACACACACATACACACACGCACAAGAGACATTGTTTTGTTGTACTCCTGAGATAAGTACTTTGTTATTTATTTTCCCTGAAGCACAAACTGCACACACAGCACACACCTTCACACATACCTTCAACACTTTGGAAATACATGCATGTTTGATTAATACAGCAGCCAATGTGCTACGCAGAGCATTTTAGATAGATAGATACTTTATTTATCCCGAAGGAAATTCAAGATGTGTTATCATAACCAATAAAACCCTGTATAATATGATTCTTCAGTACTAAATGTACCACACAGGGTTTTGATCAAAGAAAATACACTCTAACATCGACCATTTTCACCCCTTTAAATGAAGCAGTGTCTGCATGCAACCAGAGGCGTAGTGGTATGTATAAGCAGGCATTATACAGACCTTTAGACAGAAGATTTATATATGTACCCCAGATGTGTATCAGCGTACATCTTACAAAGTAAGGAAGTTGAGTCACAGTCTTTCATGCAGCCTGTAGTGTTGACTGTGGGGGGTATGAAATGGCTGAGTACAGTTAAAATACTACTGCTAATCACACAGCTACAAATATGTCAAGTCACTTAACTGAACTTTGTCTGACGATGATAATCCTGGCAACAGTTACAAAACTACTTAGAAGGAGAAGCACTTCAGTCAGTTAACAACATTACACTGACGGCCAAGGCACTGTGGGAGTTTATACACGGATCAGCCATAACATTCTGACCACCTGGGCACCCTGACTGGTCTGCAACTACGCAGCCCCATACGAAACACACTGTGATGCACTGTGTTTTCGAACCACAGGGGCCAGCCTTCACTCCCCACGTGCATCAGTTAGCCTTGGCCCCCCATGACCCTGTCTCCGGTTCTTTTCCTTCCTTGGAGCACTTTTGATAGGTACTGACCACGGCAAGGCCGGAAACAACCCCCACAACGAGCTGCCCAGTTTTGGCAGATGCTCTGTTTGGGGGGGGGGGGGCCAGTCGTCTAGCCATCAAAAATGTCGGGCCCTTGTCAATTAGTCGCCTCAAATTTTCACGCTGCCCATTTCCTGGCTTTCTAACACATCAATCTTGAAGGAGCAATTATGTCATTGCTGCCTAATTTATCCCACCCACGACAGTTCCATGCATAACCAGATAATCAGTGCTTACCTCACTTCACCAGTCAAGCTTATAATGTTTTATGACTTGATCGGTGTATCATATTGCAGTACATAATATACTTCATTACAAATAAAAGTCTTTGCGTTAAAATGTCTTATTAGAAGAATGGTATATAAAGTATCAAAATATTATAATGAAAGTGAGGTGGAGTTCTTCTGAATCTGAATCTGCTAAAACAAAGCGCCTGTATGTTTTGGGAACGTATCTAATTACCTCAGTGAGAAAAAATTTTGATTTCAGAAAATGATCTAAATTGAAAGTTGAGAAACAGTATTTGTCTTCTTGCCTTCAATCATCTCATCATCTCATCAATCTCATCAGACCCATGAGATGTATCTTGCTGATGGACTTTTCTGAGGCGTAAACCAACTCTTAACACAAAAAATACTGGGCAATGCCAATTTGTTTTCTGGACCATTTTATTGTCTTGGGGTATTTTTTACGTTACTAGTAATTGCTGCAGATCATAAGCTGAATGCTTCAACTATCTTAAGCCGTCAACATCAACGGTTGAAGGCTTTCTGGGGTAAAAAAAAAAAGAAGATGAAGAACGGCTTGGGCGCTAACACAACAGTTATAAATTCTAACATCCATCAGTGCAACATATCAATTAGTGGATTTTTACTTTGAGAGCAAATATTACTTATGTAATCACTGGGCGATGGGGTCCTATTAAATGCTAAATGTAAATCCACTATCGACCTTCGACACCAAAAAAGGCTTAAAAAGCAAAGGACTCTCTCCCCCTCTCTCCTATTTCTTGGTGTTGACATGAGAATTGTGCTTAATACCATCATAGAGGAGGCCTGATTCTTGATGAAAGGCGCACACACACACACACACACACACACACATGCACACACACACACGCACACACACAGAGGTGAGACTAAAAGTTCTGACAGCAGCCGCTCCAGGCTCTAATGTCCTAACTCCAGCAGTTATCAGTAGAGCGCTTCTCTTTCTCTTCTGTCCGTCGCGGTTTCTTTCTCTGCCTCTCTCAGTCTGTTTCCCGATTGATTTCATTCTGCCTATCTTCCCTGCCTTACTTGCTCTTTTCTTACCTTCTCTTACCCTCCAACTACCTTCATCTCCTCTCTGTTCTCTTCTACTCTCTTTGTCTTCCTGTCATTTTGAATCTACAGATGCACAAACGCATTTCTTACCCTTCCACTGACTCTCCCACAGAGAGGATGAGCGAAGTGAGCAACAGACGATAGGAAGAGGGGTTTTCATTCGCACGCTGCTTGTGCGCAACAAACACACATGTAGTGTATATGCCCACAGATTTCTTATGACAGCATCTTCAGTGTTTTTTTCCTTATATGGGCTGATTGATCTGTGCTGTGCCTTTTGTTAAAGTGACTCTACCTAAAGAGAAAGAGAGACTGGGAAGATAAAAACATCTGTACATTCATTTGCAAGTTAAAAATGTACTATAAATTAGTGCCTGCTAAATAAATGTAAAGTAGATTGACCGACAGTTTGATGGATCGTCTTGATTGACGGAGTAATGAAGTTTTTGTGGACACTGCCCTCCTGTGGCAGAATAGAGTTGTGGCAGACTGAGAAAGAAAGAATACAATTTTCTAACTCTCTGCAACATCAACAGTAAACATGATGTTGAAAGGCATTCTGGGTATTTCTGAGGTAGAAGTAGATGAGGAAGGTAGAGTTTGAAACTGGTTACACAGAGGAGAGATTATAACATCCAAAGAGTGCAGTGAAGACTGCTGATTAATTATACATCAAGAAACATATCCAACAGTGGATTTTTGTTTTAAGAGCAAATATAATTTATGTAATCACTGCTGGTGGTCTTAAAAATGTGAAAAATGTGTAGCCTGGAGCAGCAGCAGTCTCCTTTGGGCGTCTTTTAATCCATATATCTCTGTATTTCTTTGTTTGACACACACACACACACACACACTTGGTCTCAGTCTGTCCTGTTGAGGGTGCTAGTGTATTTAAAACCCCCTATCCTCATTCTTCCTTTTGTGAATGTTCACAGGGACAAACTTCTGCATTGATCTGCATCCTCAAACACAACACAACTCATAGCTGCTGCTTTTTGTCCCAGATGGTCCAAAATCTATTTGATGCATAGCTGACAATAGTGAGGACATCTTTAGGCCTCACTGAGTGTGTTGAGTGTTCCCATCATACTCTCAGTGCTTTCAAAGATCAAGCATCTGTGTTGCTGGGTCACTGTAGATGTTAAAAAAAAGACTTTAAGGGCAGGACGTTGCTTTTCTCTGGTCACCATGCAAACCCAGGGCTAGAGAGAGCTGGATCTTTGTAAAACAGATCCCTGCTTCTGTCAGTGTTCAGTTTTCTCTGTGGTCAAAGAGCAGTGCAGTGAGCTGGCTTAAAGGACCAAAAGCTTTTTACCACAAATCACTTTACAGATACAATTATTTAAGTCCTCCCCCTTGAGCTTCACTCTGCATAAAATTATGTGTGTGCAGTTTCATACTAAAAACCAAGCAGACTATTTGTATATATGTCGTCATACATGTCTAGAGGGTGATCTTAATTTTTTTTTTTATATCATTTGGCTGTACCTTAAAATGCTGAAAAATAGTTACTATTAATATGAAAAGGTGTTGCTGTCTCCTCAAACCTCCTCTCTCCTTTTGTCCCATCAGAACTACAGCTGTCCGTCAGTCATGGTGCTGGCCGTCCCGGTAGCGGTGCGGTTCCTGCAGAGAGGGAACAGGGAACTGAGCAGGAACATGTCCAGTTATCTCTCCCTGGCTGCTATTGCCAAGGCTGATCTGCTGGCTGAACACACAGAGGCCATAACACTCAGTGTGCTGGGAGGTAGGAAACACATACACGTTTACACAGATGAATATTTCCATAGTGTATGAACATATTAACATACATGCACTCAAATCTGCATGAACATTAAAACACAAGTTTTAATCCCCGTGCTGCCGTGATCCGCTAGATGTTGCTATGAAAATGGGGGGAAAGTTTTAGTTTTTTGTTTCTGTGACGTAAAAATTCTCAAACTACACTCTGACTCTTTCTCTATAAATATGGTTTAAGTGTTCTCCTGTGTTCCTTAACTCTTTCAAATCCAATGCTATTCAGTCGTTTACTTAGTTTCTGCTGCCGTCCACACATACAGATTTTCTTACACACTTAGGGAAATGTGTGTGTGGGCGTGTGCCTTTTGCAGAGACTATAAAGAGAAAGAGTCACAGAAGGAGTTTTGCAGGAAAGCTCTGCTTAAGAATGAACATTGAAATGATTCTCTAACAAGGCGTTATTATATTTATTTAGCTGTTAATGGCTGACATGTGGTTTTAGCTTGTAGAAATAGCACTTGTATTCTCTTACTGTGAGGGTAGCAGATCTGCAACAATGGGATCAACTTGTTTACTGGAGTAGAAAAATGGATTACTGTTGTAATCAGCAGTTGTAGTAGCCATAGTGAATAATGTTGCAATGATTGCCAGCTCATTGACGATATTAATGATGGTAAATAACAGCTGTTGCAAATCTAATTTCCCTGATGGCCCTCTGATGCAGCATGGAAACTCATACGCAAGAGGTAGTTATTGGGGAGAGAAAAGGGCAACAGCCGTTTGTCTTGTCTTTGTCTGTTTCAATGCTACATAAACATATTCTCTACTTCAATTTTTGTTCAAAAAATATAAAACAGGTTCACTGCTTTCATTGATTTGCCATACTGCTGTATAAAGATTTTTCAATTTACACACAAGAAATTCAACTGTAAGAATTTAAGAAAAAAAAATGTGTTTTTCCAAAAACCAAATAATATGAAATCAAATACGAAGTGTGAGGAAGTGCACGTGTCCTCTAAAAGCAGAACTAATAGGCTCTGAAAATACTCCAGGAGTTTAATGTGAAAATCTCTATTTTCAACAACTTCCCTTCTTAACATTTGAGGTCAGAGAGGGGAACCCAGCTGACCTCTGGTCAGTGGTTAAAGACAGCTATTCCCTGAAACCTTTTTTTCCTGCCCTTTAACCCCTTTTTTCAACACAGATGCTTTTCAAGCTCATTAATGTAGTGAAGGTGTCTAAAGGGCCATGGTTAGCACTGCCTGATGAAGATCTGTTTACCCCTCAGGCCTTCACACACACACACACAAACATACTGCTGTGCAGGGGTTCAGTTAATAGAGAACACCTCTCTTTCTCTACAAGTAATTCAGTCGCACATTGTGTGAACATGATTTTGTGAGGTTCTTTGTGCATTTGCATGTGCAGGTGTGTTTTTCTCTGTGAATCATTTGATGCTTTTGGCAACATGCTGAACTAACACCTCACAAACACACACACACACACACACACACACACAAGCACGTGGTGCTAATCACCTCATGCAGCACCAGAGTGAGTTGCCCACCATGGTGATGCTCCCACTGAGCACATTTTCTGCCAGCAGCTCAGCACATGAAACAGCTTAGCTCTCTGTTGTCTGCTTCATTTTACAAGTTTAGTCAGGGTTTCAGCTTAGAGCGTCAGATAGTTGGAAGACACTTTACACCTTTGATTCATGAAACTGTTGGTGAAAATAGAGATCGCAAGTGGTCCCTGCCAGTGGGAAAACAGGAATCAGGTGCTTTTTGTCTCATTAAAGTGGCGATATGAAAGTAAAGAGACTAGTTTTTCATTTGGTTTCTGTGTTTAAAACAAGCACCAGTCAACGTGGCTTACACCATTCTGCTGTACAACAGTCACATTTGAGAAATTACTAAAACAAAAAAGGATTAGTTTGGGAAGCACATTCACCTAATTGGCAAACTATTACACTCCACCGTGTTAATTGCTGATAGAGTTTGTCCCACAGCATCTCCAGGTCTTCACCTTTTTGCCATGGCTGCACAATTAATCGCGATATTATAAGAATCGCAATATGGCTAAGTGCAAGTAGAAAATCTAAGAAAGCTGGAATCTTTTGATAAAGGTTAAATGTGTGAAAATATAATGACATAGTGCAGCAGACATGCCCTGGTTGGTCTACAAATCTTGTTCTCTTGATTTAAAATAGAGACCCCAACAAATTTCACGTCATCATGATTTTAATAGTTTTTTCAGTGAAAATGAAATGTGTGATGCAAAGATGATCATTCCCACACTAATCGAGAATCATATCACATTTTAAATATCTGTCAAAATAATCTCAATATAATGTTTGACAATATGATGCAGCCCTGTATTAAACAAAGGTTAGAATAGCGGAGAGCAATAAACTCACATAAATACATATTTTACAGCTGAAGAACTCGCTGACTTTTTGTGTTTTCTAGCAAGAAACCCTTTTTTTTCTGGCTAAACTTTTTTTTCTCCATCCGTGTAAGCTAATATGTAATTAATATTTTGGTTAGCATGGTTATCATGTTTAGCTGCACAGTTGACTTTTGACAGTTTCACTGTTTAAGCACAGAATAACATCTGTAGTGTTGCATATTACTCACACATCAATATGCACTCGGCATTACGCCATTGGTAGAATAGAGACGCAAATAAAGAAGTCCCTCACTGATTGTATCAGTGTGTCATTTTAACATTTACTCTTTGTAGTCCACATTGACGTATCAAATTCCTGATTGTCAGCTGCTCAGGGGATACAGTCATAATGTTTTTTTCAAAACTTTGACCTTGAGATTTCTTTCCAATACTGTTAACTCCCCCAAAGCCATCACATAATATCACACTGGGGACACTCGCATACGCTAATACACAGTGAAACCTGGCCTTGTTTGTGAGCTGAGAGAGAGTGAGGAATAAAAAAAGAGAGAAGAAAGAGGAGGAAAAGATAGGGGAGATAAAAAGTTATATGCAAATACACACTAAATCTTCCAGTGGCTGTGATCCAGCTTGACGGGGGGTGATGAACTGATGGTGGGCCTTATTAAAGCTCAAATACACACACACACACACACACAGAGAGAGAGAGAGAGAGGATGAAAGTGAACAAGGCTTCCTGGAGGGCTTTATTATAGCGAGTTCAGATTCATGTTTCCTTGGGCAGTTTTTAATGCAGCCTAGGCAGTTTCAAAGTTACCCCCTGCTGCAACCCACTGCTGAGGCTCCTCTACGCCTCTCTGAACATTTCAACCTCATGTTGCCTGTTTAACAAGCAACTACTTCTTTCCTCCCCTCTGAAACCTCAACATAAACACAACACAACATAAACACAAGACTGCAAACACACGTGAGCAAAGCCCAACTGCGCACACACATGTAGCTCATAGAAGCAATAACAGATGACCTCTCTTTTTTTCCCAGCAGCCCTTTGTTCAGGAAGTGAGCTGATGTAATGGGGGTTTGGGTGATGTTGATGATGGGGGTGTTATGGGTTGGCTGCGCGAGCTTGCAGGATGGATGGACTGTGTGTGTATGTGTGTTTATGCTGGAGGTTTGTTGCTGAAGCCTGAGATACACTAATTCTCTCCATTGCTCTGTATTCTTTGGAAGACAATGTATTTTGTACTTTGTTGTATTTCTATCTTATATCTGTCAGTTGAGTGTATAGTGAGCTTTATAGGGATGTGTGTGTGTGTGTTTATAGTTACAGGAAGTCAGCAGCAGGATGCAGAAAGGGTTTTTATTATAGCGTGCTACAGTAACCAGTACATGCACACAGAAACATGTGGCATTGCTTTGGCCCCATAGGGATTTTAGAGCCTAGAGTTCCTTCCTTCTTTAAGTAAAACCTGATCTTGAGTTAACACTTAAGTTTGGAATGTGTCATCTGTCAAAGTTATATGTCTTTTTTGCTTCCCCTGCTGCAAAACATGTGTAGTTACTGTACTCTGGCCTGTAAGGTAAAGAGAAGGCAGAGTGAGGAAGGTTTGGGGCGAGTAGGATCCTGAATGTGAAAGGTGGTGTTTCCATTTTGTAACAGGTCACAGTTACAGAAACAGTTGGAGACTGTGCAGAGGTTGTTGCTGCAGGAGAAACGTGTTATATTTCACTAATGGGCCAGTAAACTAATGAGCCCAGTAAACTGTAAACATATGTGAGCAGCAAAAAGCTATCTATATTCATGACATGTGTTGAATTTATATTTTGTGTGTTGTATATCATCATTTGTGCAATTCAAACTTCAAACTATCATGAGAATTTGAACCTTTTCCTGTTTCATTATTTATGTAGACATTGTGACCTTTTTATTTTAAATGTAAATCCAACCAATTCTTTGTGAACAGATAGTAAGATAAGAAGGGAAAGCTAATAGAGAAAAGCCATTTTATTTTTCCTTGTAAAGCACTTTGAATTACCTGCTTTGTATGTTGATCAACAGACAATGCGGTGTCAGCAGTTGAACTCTTGTTACTGCTGTGAGCTTTGTGATGATAATTTAAATGTTAGCCATCATATATTGGCATATATTGGCTTTTTAATTAAATTGTCTTTAAACAAGCAAACACCTAATTCTTCCACCATCAGCAGAAGTCTTTGGCAAAAATTACAGGAAATTAAAGGTCCCGTGTGTAACATTTTGGAGGATCTATTGGCAGAAATAGAATATAATATTCATTGGTATGTTTTCATTGGTGTATAATCACCTTAATATAACAATTGTTGTGTTTTTGTTACCTTAGAATGAACCTTTTTTATCTACAGATGCCATGGGTAGCTTTCCATGGAGTTTATGTTGAACCAATATGTTTCTACAGT